TCAATAGTGTACACGAATAAAAATTGCTAATTTTGTGCATCAGAACATCCTTGGTTCACAAAAGTTTGGACCCAAAAATATAGGAGCATCTTAATGAGATATTCCGTTAGGGATAAGAACTAGAATTAGTTTCAAAGCTTCTGACCTTAAGGTAATCTCCTTCTGGCTACCCATTGTGGCCGCAATATATTAACAAACATTTCAGGTTTTCGCGATTCGACAGCTTAGCGCCGTTTGTAGAGTCTTGTCGAAAGTCACACGGATCAGTGCCGAAACGGTTCTTAAAATAGTTCCGCATTTTATTCAATTAGGGATATTGCGAACTCTGGATCAGTCCGGCGTTACAATGTAACGGTTTAAAGTAGGGCGAAATCCTGCGTAACCTAGCAACAACTGTACGAATCCTGGCGGGACTATCGCTCTCGATTAAAGGTGCCACGTACTTCGCTTTAAGCGCGATCTACCTCACCCAAGAAAATAGCGCAAAAATATCGTAGTCAAGCACATCGGTCCAGATAACCATCCGACGAGACTACATGTGTCAATTGTTGCACACAACTTACCACATCAAGCGGGTCGCAAGAGCGTTTGATGGGGCAAGTTGGCCCAAAGAGAAGGTAGGTAGGAGAGACTGAAAAAGAAACAAAACGGAGGGTGAAAACACCACAAACAGAGGAGCTTGCAGACGTGTGTGCCCTGTGAAGTTGGATCTAGTCCAAAAAGCACGGATCAAGTGGAAAAATGGTTTTAATGATTTACCGATAATGTAAATCAAAAACGCTGAGAGTTAATGGAGGAAATCGCCAGACAGCTATTTCGTCTTGTGGGGAATTCTTCAGAAGTGTGCGATCTCCGGCTTCATCAGCAACCGAAACCATGACATCTACACACCAACCAGCGGCAGACCGCCTGGGCTCATAAGCAAACTAAGATAGAGCGTGGTCCATCCTGGACTGTCATATAATTTGCGAAAGTTGCAGAGTGTAGGTTTGACCATTAGAGCTACCCGAATCAGCAGCTGTGTAAGATAGCATCTAACAACCGAATATTTTGACAATATGTGAGTGGGAGATTTTTGATGGAACAGCTACTAAAGGTTATGTCGTGTACGGCTGCTGGCATGAGAAACCGTATCTGTGGGCACCAACTCCACACCCTGCAATGATCGGAGGACGACATGCGCTCTGTCGTTGTTTGATTGTGTGTCATGACGGCCTGCTGCCACCACACTCATGGTCAACTGGCACAAACCGTTGGTTGGTGTCGAAAGGCCATCTGTTCGATTGTACATGGAGCCAGGGGATGTGCACTATTAATGTGACTTCCGATGGGACAAAACGGCCTTCCAATGCTTTTCCAGACGCGTAGGTGCTAGCTGACTTGGAAGCCATTGCGAATAACCTCAAGCGACCAATAGAAGGAGAAGACAATCACAATACATATATGATAAACGTCCCAACAATTGTGTGGAGTGTTTCCAGAGATATCCGTCACAACCACACAGCATATCTGGAACAGGATTAGACGGCCACTTCGGGACTCGTCAACAGTGTGCAGTCCACATAAAAGGGCTCAGAAATACGCCGGTACGCAGTACCGACGCTTCGCTGCCGCGCAACCACCACCACCAGTCGTATGTGGGCTAAAGGTACTGCGAGGGTCGCCTGGTCCCTACGCAGGCTCGAACCCGCGCCCTCTTATTCCAAGACAGACTCGTAATCTTTAAGGCTACGGTTCGACATAGGTGATCGAATTTTATCTGAAGTGCGTTGTACGATGCGTTGACGATGAGAAGCCACTTGGATTGAGGCGATCAGTCGCAAGCGAAAGTGTAACGGTTGTGCTTCCATCGTTAAGCACAACTGATGTCGCTCAAGCCCTACGCCAATCGAGCTTGTGAAACGTGAGACGTCGTCTCTAGAGTTTAGGCACTGAAAAAGGAGTATAACCTGCTTCTTCCACCCTAACCTCATTTAAGAATGTGGAGACAGAACATAATTCTCAACTATTAACCAGTCCCGCATGAAAGGTTGACATTTGAAAAGGAGAACTCAACGACGCCAAGTGAGTTACGGGGGCGTGAAACCACTGTACAAAATTAAGGAGCAGTTTGAACCCGATAGTCAATGAACTTATATGGATATGACATGGGTCGGAAAGTAAAGACTTTATCTAGTTCCGCGTGTCACGTCCCTCTAGAGCTCTAGTTAGATGGAATAGCAGTACCCCATCGGAAATTGATTTGTTGGTACGTCATGTGAATCGTTGCTACAATTGAGCATTCTTTTGGTCCCAGTGCTTGTATTGCTATAAATAGCAATCAGACACTACCCTTTAAACAACACAGGAGGTTGTTCGATGGCCGCAAGGAAAGCGTCAAATCGGGCTGGGAATGATTTCTAACCTGTTTGAAAGGTCAAAATGGATGACTTAAGACGGCTACAGCTAGCAAGTAAAGTGCACTAAAGAAACATTAAAACATAAACTTCAGTAGTCTAAAGTAAACAGATAAGGTCACGAAAGGATAAGATTTTCATGAAGCATCTGAAGGAACGAAATCTAAAGCCGCCTAGTAGAATTGCTCCTAAGCAAAATCTTTCCATACACTTACCACTTAAGGGTAATTCTGCAACTGAAATCTTATCTCTACACCTGAAAGATACTGTTGAAAAAACTTATTTCGCAGCCCGATTTAGAATTGTTTACCACAACAAGCCATTGCTTGCAAAACCCTTGAAAGATAGACAGCCATCTTTGACCCGTTCAACGCACGTCTATCAGTACTCGTGCTCCTGTGGTGCACGATCAGTGGGTCGCACCACGAGACGCCTATCCCAGAGGATTCGCGAGTACATTCCGGTATGGTTTTACAAAGGCGAAATGAGGTCATCAAACAGCCCCATCATGTCGCACCTTCTTGTATGTGGTCATACTGCATCTGAGAATGACTTTACATTCATCTACTCACTATCTGAACGCTTCTCGCAAGGATTCCGAAAGCTACTCTGGTCTATTGCCGAGGCTATCTACATCCACCATCTGAAGCCGGAATTATGTGTACATAAAAGATTCATAGGGCCGACACAACAACAACAACAACAACAACAACAACAACTACTACTACTACTACTACTACTACTACTACTACTACTACTACTACTACCGTGGCCGACTGACATTGCTACTCAGTTATTCCTTTGTGACCTTAACTATTTACTTTAGACTACTGAAGTTTATGTATTATTGTTTCATTAGTGCATTTTACTTGTCATCTGTAGCCGTCTTAATTCATGTATTTCGACCGTTCAAACACACCTTAGAAGACAATCCCAGCCCGATTCGACGCTTTCCCCAGACACAATCAGCGTTATGGAAATGTTTCGGTCTGAAAAGAGATCACCGAATAAATTCTTAATCCTGAACTGATTTCTGAGCATGATACTAAGAACCTAGTCCACGTGTTGCCTACGCCAAAATTCAATAGTTTAATCCGTTGTCATCCATTTTCCGGGGTATAATAACTATATTTGTTGCGTCATTTGGAGAATGGAGTCATCTCTGCACCCATGCGTTTGTGACGTGTGTGTGTGAGAGCGCACTGGCCAACCTCCTCTGATCTGACGTTCGGTAGTAACTGCTACATCTTGCTCTCATAGGCGTTCGCACCCAAGATACGGATCACCAGCAAGGGTGACCTGGTACTCTCGAACCAGAAACATACTACTTGTTTTACGACCGGTGAGTTCAAAATCGGAACCCAGTATGCTGTGCTCCAACCATAATTTCTGCAAACCAAACACCACCTCCTGATCTCTGAAGACGTATGACTTGTTTAGATTACAGACTGGTTCGGCTCACTTCCCATCCAGTGGGCAGCGTGTTCACAAATACCAGCCCTAATTTTGAAGCACAGGACCAGTTGGTCGCAAAATCGCACAGCAAAAAGGAGAACGCGCTTTACTGCGACGGAATGTACTAGTCATGAGTAATGCAATACACAGAAGAATGTGCGGTGAGCGAAAACTTTTGGAGCAGAGTCCGTTAGAGAATGGGCATTAAGAGTTGTGCTGATGCCGTTTCAATTACCTGGAAAAGTATACAATGGCCACCCCACCGTCTCCAACCAATTTGGAATGAAGCTGAAGGGTTTCTAGAAAGGAAAACTGGTTATTAGGACTAGTGGTGGTCATTCGATAAAGAATGAAGAACATATCGGAAATGGCAGCCAGACTATTCAAACAGCATCACCATATCGTAGCAAACAAACCAACTGCTATGTAGCGAAACTCTTTCAATACCAAAGGAAAAACTGTAGGCGCATGAACAACGCAATGTGGTATACAAAATACGTTGCCTAGGTTGAAAAAGAGATTATTTTGGCCAGACGGGAAGAAAACTGGCAAAAGGATACAAGCATATAAAAGAGCCTGTGTAGAGCATTAGACACCGTGGCTAGTTTTATTGCAAGTAGACGAATAAGGGCAGCTTCAATTAGAGAAAAGCAGAGGTCCTGGCACAAGGTGAAACAAGAAAAGGAAGGGAATTCCTGGAAGCTTGGTTCTCAATGAAAAAATCAATCAACACGCAAGTCTACATCGATTCAATATACCAACCACTTCGACACGCGGTTTAAGGCGGAGCAACTGCCACTTGCAAAAGTCTCCTGCAGGTTGATCACGGATAGACGATGCATTTAATAAGATTGCACGCCACATATCACTGCAGTGAGCAGGTCACGTCGCATGGTGGTGAAACGTTTGCAATGAAAGTGCCAAGCTCGGAGAACAAATGAACAATTGGATGAGAGACACACTGTGGACTCGTACTGCGAATTCTACGGACGGGTGCACGTAGTTGAAACAGTCGATTGTGTAGAAACATGTGGAATGAAAATCGTGTTACCTGAAGTAATGCGCGCACACACACAAGCTAGAAGCGACAGAAGCATAACGAGGACTACGAGTTGGATCACGTGTATGGTTGCACAAAGCATAAGCCTGTCTCATAGTAGTCACTCTAAGATGAGTGTACGCGATTTGCGGATCCTGGCCACACGTTTCTTGTGATCCTCCTCCATATGGTATCGACTTGGTACTTTGGGCCGCTCAATTTCAGTCTCTGTAGAAATAATGTGACCACCGCGTGCGTGCGGTATCACGTCCACATCTTTCAGCAAATCTTGCACATTCGCCGGTAAAGAGGTGAACTCCTCGAGGGAGAGGTGTTTGTGCACATTCGTAGGATCGTCTGGGATGACAGAACCACTGGCGTGGAGAAGCGCGCTGAGCTTATCTGGTGGTAGGTAGGAGTAATAATCGGAGTAGTTGTATACATGGAAAGGGAGATACATCTCGACGGTACCTGAGAGGAATGCAAATGAAGATATTAGTGGTTAACGGAAATTGGAGAAGAGTGAATGAGAAGCGTGGGAAGCGGAACGTAAATCGGAGCTATAAAAGATGTGGATCTGGTATTTTACTACTGTGTGAAGAGCCGATGCCAGGAGCTTGTGGTTAAGATCCCAATCGATTTGGTACAGTGTAACTCTTATTGAGGCTTCATCGCATCAGCCTTCAAGTCAGAGTCTTCCACACGCTGGAAGAAGCATCAGAAGATCGTCTCGGCCCATTGGGACCTTCCTGTGGTGCGTATCGCTCGGCCACATCAAGAACCGAGATCAGCTAGCGGCTTGCGATATGAATCAATGCGATATAGCGCAATCCACCCTCCCCTGTCATGCTAGTTACGGAGGTTACAGAGCACAGCGCTAACACCGAGAGCCACAGCTTCCAATAACAGCAGCTATGTACGACACAGCATTTAATGAATGCTACGACAAATGTTTTGATGCACGCATGGGGGATAGACTGTGGAATACAATTATCAATGAGCTCATCACACAGTAGCTATCAAGTCAGTCCTCCAAACGTCCGAAAATGCAACAGACGGTCGGTTCGTCCTACCGAGACCCATTAGCCCTGTGCATCTCTTTACTCTATCAAGTAACGCTCGAGCAACGAGCGGAGGAAAAGTCCGCAGAATAGATGGGCTGAGTGACTGATGCACGGGTTTCATTGACTATGTGAGCAAGCGCTAGGTAATTCTGTTTTGTTGTTACGTAATCATAAATTGAGACCAGAAACTAGCGATAAGAGAGCACAAAAGAGAAGTCATGCATAGAGCGGAAAGTGAACTAGGCGGTAAGTCATTAAGGCTTGAGGTGTCTATATCTGGTGAACAGGAGTGTGTCGCGAACTGGTAAGCACAATGTGGATGTGAGGTGATATCTGCGGGAATGCTTCATCGGGCATTATTCACAGAGTCGATGCACAGGCGCTCAACATATGATGATTCTATTAACCATGAGACACTTGGGAGTGGCTGAGCAGAGGCTTTGGTGACAGCGAGAAAAAGTGAACAAGGGATGACAGCATGGGTGTTCGAAGAACGCGACTGAGTGAAAATGGGGGCATTATAGGCCAGCGCATTTCCTAACGGCTGTTTCCCTTGTGCGTCATTGTCTACTTAGAACTACAGCAAACTCGACATTTATCTAACGAATCGCTTAAACAAATAGACATACGTAGCTATGAGCAGGGGATATTGATATAGATAATTGAGATTCCTCACAGCCAGCTTCCAAATCAGATAGTCGTTCACAGAACTGGAAAAGCACTGGACTGCAGTTTCAAACTGTTGCGAAATTTCAGTAGTGCGCATCCATCAGGATTCGAACCCATGATCACCGAAAGCACGTCATAAGTCTTAACTCTACACGTGGTCAGGTTATACATAACAAGAAGTACGGAAACGAACTTCCCGGGGACGTCATCCCTCAACAGACAGTGCCACAACGCATTCATGTCGACAGAATCGAAGGCAACACGGATATCCAGGAACACAGCAAACTTTGGCTTTTGGTGCACATGATGAAGCTGGAGGGTCTGGGGGAGTTTGAAAACTTGACCAATGCAGCCGCGACCAGGACGAAACCCAGCCTGATCTCCACGCTGTAGGGATTCACGGCAGTGCGAAACACACCTGCATAAACATGAGTATAGTAATACTAACGAGAACAGTCGGTGATTGTACAAAACATTACAAGTTAACCAGTTGCAAACTGGATCTACGTGTGTACATATACATTTAGGTTTAATGTTTGTCGTCTCAGTCGGGCTAAACGCGACTGATTGTCTGTTGGACTTGCGCTAGACACATGAAACCTCCCGTGTCATATGCAATGTCTGGCTGCGCTTGATGTGATGGATGAGAAGGTGCCAACCTGGCTAACAAACTCCACCTCGATTGCTGGCTCCAGGAAACTGTGAATCATTGCAGGAGGAACGGAGTGTGCGGTCCTTTTGGCCGTGCTTGGCTCAAAGAGTGATTCCATGCGGTGTGGAGCGGAATACGGCACAGCCACTGCCTTGTGTACGTCTGGTACGCATGATTCCCCATAGAGAGGAATGCTGCTGCTGCTGCTGTGCATGTTGATGGAGTGTGGGTCGGCAACACTGATGAAACATGCCTGCAATCCACATGTCCCCGGTCTTATTCCTTCGGGTTTACACTGGATATGGGGTGTGTGGGTGGAGCTGTGGGCAGTGCAGCGCAAGCCACGTATAGTCGCTCTGTAGGCGCAGGCCTCCGGTGACTGTCCCCATGGAGACCGCAGTGAAACGCAAATCCGAAATCGTACGCCACCAACCATGTGTATGTGGCCATGTTGAAAAAATGTGTGGGTGCGGTGTGCAGTTGTGACTGTGTTTGACCTGGTCGTCAGTGTGAGAGGAACTCCACGAAGTCTGTGGAGTGGGTAGTTTCATCTGGATGAGCAAGAGGCAGGGACTTTATTTAGTGATGCGTCGCATCGGCCCCGTCGCAGTGTTGTTAAACGGACATGTTTGGCTTAGTATAGAGGACACTTGCCAGGCAGAAACATACCACACCCTGAAACATTGTCGCCGAACCATTGGCTAGAGAGAGAGATTAGCCAAAACCAACCAGCTGACACCACGAGGTGTTCGGCAAGCCAGCTCCCTTGTCACTTGAATCATAAGATTTTGGCGACGGACACCCAGTACCGTTATCAACGCATCTAAAAGCGGTCGGAAAACGAAGTGTCGTGTTATATACCAGGACGCTTAAGTACCATTGCAAAGTGCCTCTTTCGGTAGGTGGATTTGAGAAAAAAGCATCATAAAAACAGTACGGCAAGACAGAGAATTGAGAATAGTCACTTTAGTTTACTGTACCATAGTTCCGTGCACCGACCTGCAATGAATTTCGGTACCATGATCCATGTCGCCAAAATAAGAATAATAGTAATAATAATTATAATAGCAATAATAATTTGAAGGGAAATGACACAAAAATTGCCGAAATAAGGGAACGCGCGCAAAAGTATCAGTGAATTCGAGATTGTTTCATATCCGATAGAGTATTTAAGCACATATTGTGCTATCAATCCAGAATCATGATAAACAGCAACCTTATTTCGACTGTAATTGATTTTTTCACGCAATGACACCCATGGGGCTTCACCTAACTAGGCGCATTGTAGGCTATTAATACACGCGGAGACAGCCGGTAGGCAAGCATGCGGACTACCTGTCTGAAGCGGTTCGAGTGAAACAGGAATCCAACGCACCAGAGAGGGTCGCCTGATACTATACAGCAAACGATGAACTTCAAAGTATTACTCGCTCTGTTCTTCCATCAGGTAGCAGCGACAATGGACAGGCATCAGTGTGGTCACAGTGGCAGTACTCTAATATTCTAATCCCGGAACACCGCCACCTATACCAGAGGCCTACAATCGTTGCATTCTTAGACATCTGTGCCGTATTCGACTCGGTTGATCGACTTGCGCTATGGCGTTGCTTGCTAAGTAACGGGGTCCAAGAAACGTACACAACCATCCTCTGCACACTCCAGCTCCACATCTCCGGCAGAATGAGGGTCGGTAGTAAGCTTTCTTCGTCTTTCACTGTAAATAGCGATGTGCGACTGGGCTGCTCTACGTCCCTGTTCCTCTTCAATTTCGCGATTGTAGATGTCCTGTCGAGAGATCTGGAGGGCTATCAGCATTTTGGTCTACAACAACAACAACAACAACAACAACAACAACAACAACAACTACTACTACTACTACTACTACTACTACTACTACTGCTACTACTACTACTACTGCTGCTACTACCGAGCAACCCGACTTAGATTATGCTGATAACATCACTTTACTTGGTGACGAGTATGGAAACCAATTTAAACAGTTTGGCGGCTGAGGCATCTAAGTACGGAATGTGATTTGTCCCGTCGAAGTACGAAGTGCTGCTCCAGCATTAGCACTCTCCCGCTCCCGTGCTTACTCCTGAAGGTACACGGCTTTAACATGTTGACAGCTTTGTATACCTAGGCAGCTGCGTGTCTGCTGGAGGCGTGATCAGCAGGGAAATTTATCTTCGCATCGCGTCCGGTCTACGTTTGTCAACTTGCAACATTTGTGGCGTCGTCCGGATGTTTCCCTATTGGTAAAGGATTGTGTATACAATGCCACCGTTCGGACAGTATTGCTATATGGAAGCGAGTCATGGCCAGTTCGTGTAGATTACATGCGCCGGCTCTCGGCCTTCGATAATGGATGTTTAAGGAGAATTGCTCGTGTGTGGTGGCAACAGAGTATCTACAACGGTGAAGTCAGACCAAGTGTCTTAGGGAATGCGAGTATTCCGCTTAATAATTTTGTTTCGATGCGCCAGTTAAGATAGCTCGGCCACGTCGTGCGTGTGTTAGCTGAACGTTTACCCTGTCGCGCTCTGTTTGCCCGTGCAGGACTCGACTGGAAGAGACCACGTGGCCGTCAACCATCCGCCTAACGGCAGCATATGAAATTAGTGACTTCAGGTCTTGATGCCGTTGAACTCACAAGTATGCCTGGCAGGGGACTTATGGACGAAGGGTACCAACAGCTGGCAACTATTCAGGATATGGCTCGCAACCGAAATCAGTGAAAGATCTGTGTACCTACTTGTTTCGACACAGATATTTAACGCCTAACAAATAAAAAAAGAAAGAAACAAAAATTAGGGTGTGAAAAAAGGACAAAAAGTTCCGTTTTTCTTTAGTGCAGCACAATAGCTGAAGTGTTGCTCACCTTCAACTAATGTGCTATAATGACCATGCTGCAGCGACTCCACTCGTCATCCGCGGAATTTTATGGCTTTGTATTTATTGGACAATTGATTCATTGAGGAGCAGCAGCCAGGTCTCCGAGGCACTGCGGCGTTGCAGACACTTCGCATGAGCGACAGGTCGCTAACATACAAGCCGCTGAGGTTTTTGAAAGTCACACGAACTTTAGCATGGAGTACAGTAATCTCCTCGGTGATGTAACAACCAAAGGTGATACAGACACCTAAATAGGCAAACCGATAGATGATTTCAAGTGGTTATACCATAACTATGAAAACTGGCAACGAAGTGGAGAAGTCCCGTCACACCAAGGTATTCTGAGTGTAACAGCTCAGGAAAAGCAAAGGAGATGGTAGAACAAATGTTAGCCAGTGTCTCGAGTTGAAGAAATAGGAAATATATATGGAACAGTGAAAGAAAAATGGATGAAACGATTGATGGAAATCGAAACCAGGTGGCTAGAAACCCGCATTTTGTCACGAGATCGACAGAGCGGGAAAAGTAACCAAGTGTTATTGTGGTCAGCGTTGGAATACCCCACGTTTGCTTTTAGATACATGTGATTGGTCACAGAGACATCCAGATAAATGAGTGGCCCACGTAGAGCACGTCATAAAACACTGTAAGGAACAAAAAGCGAGAGTGGAAAATGTGAAGCATCGAAGTCACAGTTGGCAGACGCGTATTGCGCAACGACAAGAAGAGTTCAGCAGCGATGCACCCAAGCAGGCGCGCTGTTCACGCGACCGCGTGGCACGAGTGAAGACCGCTATCGGTTACCGAAAACGAGTGCCATACAGCCATACAACAATAGGTGGCGCATGGTAGAGAACCACACTTTCGTAATGACGTCTGGGTGGCCGTCCTAAAGTGTTCTACACGAACAGTGGAGATCGAAAGCTGAGGCTTCAGCAAACCTGGCAACACGAAAGGAAGGCACTTCATATCTGGAGAAAGGGGTAGCAAATTAAGCCCAGTGCGGCAGGGGCTGAATCATTGGTGGGGCAACTCACAAGCGTACAGCCAAATGGGTAACAGTTACGCTTCCAAAGCAATCAATCATCCGCCCAGTTGCGTGGCAGAGTGAGCCAAACCGATTTGGAACATGGGTTCCGACAAGGCGAGCCCTGGGGAAATATGTCGTACAGCGATGACTGCCATCAAGTTTTCGTCGGAAAATGTGAAGTGAAAAATTCCCGCAGTCAGAATGTCATTGTCATCATTATCAGTTTAAAAAATGTAATGTAATAGTCAGTAGCATACTAGGTACGGTGTGAGATGGTGACTGTGATCAGAAGTGAATCGGCGGGGACAGAGAAACTCACAACGCAAATGCCATTGAGGTCGACTCTTTGGCAGATTGCTCTATCCATGTATTAAGTCGGACGAACGAAAGTGTGCAAGTTTTCCCAAAATATAGTTGGCTAAATGAATCAGATCCAAGCCCAGATCATCACCTCCAATTCGAGAAAAATCATCCGTATGTACCAGTGATCCATACTGGCGGTGTGTGTGTGTGTGTGCAGTTGGTTAGTGAAACCCTCATTTGTGGTCTGGCTAGTGTCATATGATATGAGCAGTGCCCAATGGCACCTAGTGTCAAAAGGAGCGGAACACATCAGGTCCTCAAGTTAAATCGCTCCGTGGTGTTTGACTATATAACGTGATCCACGGGGTAAAGGTACGCAACAAATGGAAAAAGAGCCGGATCCAAGAGGAGAAGCAATGGGAGAAAATATTGCAACGAATAGAGATGTTTAGTTCAGTGCAAATTGTAAATGACTTACCAAGATCTTGTGCTTTTTCAATTTCTAAAAGTAGTCTTTTGTGTTGCCCTCGGCACAAACCTGTCGAGTGGTAAACAAAGACGATTGAGTAAACATGCAGACACGCAGGGCAGCTGTGCAATCAGACACGTTGCTATTGTGGATGTTGAGAAACGAGGGAAGATGGCAGCCGGCGCAAACAACCGTCACGCAGAGTTCAACGGTCATTATACAAGTTAGCTAGAGGTGGGAAACACCTCAGCTACTGTGCCGCAATACATTAAAGAAAAAATACAACAGTTGCATGCTAGCTGAGCTACCAGCAACGGATGGGCATCGTTCCGGAAAGCTACTAGCCGGCTACTATGAAGCAAAAAAAATCACTGCAAAATTATATAAGGCTAAATAGTGAGATCGTGGTTGGAGGGGAGGGTAAGCGGGGTGGGGAGGGACAAAGAAATTCATAGCAGGAACACCACTGAGATCGGCTCCTAGCCATATCAGCAAGTGTATCTAGCCAAACGTGTTCATCATCTTTGGACCCCAACCAGGGAGCCGTGACGTTCCAATCGAGGCCAGCTCCGAACTGAGGCCCTTCATTCCGAGAGTTCAACGGTAGTGTGAAAGGTGATGGAACAATGCTCTTTAGTACCATAGGGGGACCACAATATAAAAAAGAGAATGGACTGTAGGGCTGGAATTGGGGGAGGGAGGAGTTGTTGCTATGGCTCAGGTGCTCTGATGTGTCGCGATGAGGATGGTGGTCAAGACAGCGCAGGAGGAGAAAAGAACAAAAATAAACGACTGAAGGTAGTTGGAATGGTGGCATAGAGCGATAATAGACCAAAGCAAGAAACTGAGACAATCAGGCCATTCCTCGGTGGAAATCCCACCTGTGTCTGGCAGAATACAGCAACACGAAAAAGTTCTTTTATCAATTGTCGAGTAATCGCCTCGGAATTTCATCAAACCAGGAGCAGGCCGGAAGACAATACGCACTAATGTGGTCCGTCTGTAAACGTTAGTGACCAAAACGCAACAGACGATCAAGTGAGGAATTAGGGTGCTTTTATTCGAGTCCGATCAGCGGACGACAGTGTCACTCACTTGTAGCCCCCGGTAGACATAATTCTACTGGTCAGCAGCACCGGTTTGCTGATGGCATGCAAAGATATTTGGTCTAACGAGAGTAAGGTTGGATACAGTATCAACAGGGTACGATCTAAGGACAAATCCTCCAAATTGCAAAAGGCAAGGAGTACTTGTTTCAATGTGTGACGAAAGCACGACGTGGTTCGGCCAAGGCATATGTCGCTGAAAAGCGGAAAAAGCTAGCGGCAGCTATGAGGGAAGAAAGTGTGAACGGATCTACGAAAGGGTAAAGGCGACGGCCATGTATCCAGATGAATGTTCGGCCGAGGGTGACTTGTAAGAAGTACTAGCCTGTTGGAAGATAACATGTATACATTGATTGTAGAGTTTGTTCGCTATTCCGTGACAATTTATAAGGGTGTGAATATCACATCCTTTAATCGCACGAATCCTGATAACTGTTCTTCCACAAGGCAGCGGTAGTCCGATGCTTAATTGCCACGTGACCACCATCAGCCATATGCGAGGCCACCAGCACTTATGACAGCCCCAGCCCTCAACCTGTGAATTTAAACAAGCCAGAAGGCTGAATCACTCGGTCCCCGGTCTGCTTCACCTACCGAGAGTAAAACTAACAGACAAAGGGTTGTGACACACCTGTCTGCTAGATCCGCTTAGGCACACATTTACAACTTCCGAGTTTCGTTTTATTGCGCCAATTCAATGACATTTGTTTTAACACATGATTTTGTCAGTCAGCCCATTATTTGATATTACGAGGACACTTACTGCACATACAGTTTTTGGAAAACAGTCTTAGTTACCGATTTCTTTTCTTCCGCTATCGCTGTTACTGACACTTGTTTAAACACATCATTCCGCTAATTTCATTGGATCGCAGTTCCACATGGCTGCGAACACGCACTTTTCGTTCATTGCGTGCCCCTTATTGGTTCGTTTATTAATCAGCCTTCATTGACTTCATTTTGCTTGCATGTTTACAGCAACATTGGTGGGCTTGAATATCTTTTAGTAGTTTCTCTTCAGCACATACTCAAAACTATGTAAACAGTCATGATTCAATGCATACAATGCTTTCCCGGAACGTCTTTGGAGTTCTTTTCTTGCGGTCGTGGGGCGAAAGCGTCTCTGGCGACACAACAGTTGTTAAGGGTCGTTGTTGCTGGAGGCGGATCACAGTTAGATCCAGACGCTAACGTTATTCCTAACCCATAGTTCACTGTATCCGATTGGTTCTAAACTTGGATATTTGTTATTGGCTGTGTTCAGTTAAACATTTTCTGTGCGTTAATTGGCTTTGAAGCCTGCGCATCACGTAGCCTTTTCACCATACAAACAGTAGCATTTCCCGTGCAAAATATTCGGTTCCTGTTCGTCCCGTTATTCTCATCAAAAAGAGTTAAGTGGAAGTGGTCGCAAGAGTCGAAAATGGGATTTGCAGCCATTTTCGGAAGCTGCTTACCGACAACTGTGCTCGCGGTCCTTGGATCCCCAACCTGAGAGTGAAATGCATATCGTGACCAATCTTAGAGTTATCGTTTTGACACTTCGAGCTCGAATTGTGCCCAGGTTACCTTGGTGCCGCTTACAGACAACATCAGCGCGCAGCGAGGCATCTACCGGAGAGTTATACAAAGTACGAATCTAACGCTAACCGATCCGAGTGCAGTGAAATTAAGCAGCCCAACGATCGGAATACCTCATTCGACTTGAAAAACCGTAGACGAACGTCATTATGACATAGATGACGTGTCCATCGGACATTGATAGTGTTCTGAAAGCACCGGCGCCCACAAATAGAGAGCTTAATGTCGAAACATGGCCGGCGACGTAAGAGGCGATAACTTTTTGGGAAACGCAAAAGAATTTCGATCGTTAACCGTCAACATTAAAGTAGGTATCGAGGAACCGAACTTGTCGAATGGGTAATCTTAAAAGTGGGAGTAAGAGGTGTTACTAACCGTTCCTGCAAAAGGGGTGCTACACAAAGAAGAGGTAAACTAAAGAGTATCTCAAGCTCTCGCGGCATATTTTAGGCAGCTGGGATTCAGTGAGTGTACAGCTGCTTCCACCGTACTCTCGAGGTGGCCATCCACAGTGAGGTAGAACAGAAGGATGAGATTGACCAAGACTGTCCCAGACCAATGAACACTTGAGTAATAGTACAACTTGTGGATTGTTACAAATTATGGTGATGCTAAAACGTAGTGGAAGGTCCCCATTGGTAGAAACAAGGCCCGGTTGGAAAACAAGTGGCTTGAAGAATGTTATGCCTGATTCCTATACGCTCCATGTGCATAACGGACTGGCACGACTCGTAGTTGAATGAACGGACTCGGGATAGAATGGTACACCACACGGATAAGATAGCCGACAGAATTCGAATTCGCACACCCGGAGACTTAGACGCAACACGGTTCTACACGCATGTTGAACGGGCTCCTAATTGAATGTAGATTTCACACGAGACTGCCCGACCCAGAAAACAGTAAGAACAAAGACAGGCCTTTCGCCCCAGGCACTTTTACTAACCAGCCCAAGATGATTTTGCAGTGCAGTCCAGATTTGCTTATATACCGCGATTGTAGAAGAATTTGCGCAAGAATACCCCGGGAGCAAAGCAAGTCAATTGGTACCATGTAAATTGTCAACAAAACAGGTAAAAAAATAAAGGTTTGTACATGCGGTAGCTGAGGGGAAAAATGAAGGTTTCTTTGATAAAAACTGAAATGTTCATATCGCAGAAAGTTGGCTGGAAACAGGAATGTTCGCTTAGGTACAAAGACAATGTTTCAAGTCGTGGAGGTTGGCCGGAAACAGGCGCGAAGGCTGACCGAACGTGTGCACTCGTCTACTGCATGTCTCAGCTTCAAGCTTGCGGTTTTATGGGGACGTTGGGTGCCCATAACTTCCTCACTTCAAGTTTGGACACACCGTTTTAGTTGCATTTCGATCTGCAGCTTTTCTGTTCTTCGACGGACGCGTTCCGATTGGCGTTGAGGCCTGGTGGGAATTAACATCGGTTGCATAGCTTCCACAACTGCCGGTTGTCGCGCGGCGACTCCGGACGTATCGACTAATATGTGCAGTGGTAGTTGCGTAGCTGACTCGGACTATTCGTGATTCGTCCGCGTCGCGGGCGAAGTTGGTTTCAGTGGCGAACCCATGTGTCGGTCTCCCACAGCGACATCATGTAACCTACTACCATGATGGCCCGTTACTGTGGCTTCGATCCAGTGTGAGTGACCAGCCCGGTAGTCACGATCGAAGACAGGAGCTCCAAAAGCGAAGCCCTTGCGACTGATGAAGACTGGTTTTCCATAGTGGCTTTTCAGTTGGCACCAGCGTTTCGTACGTGGTACGCAGCTTCCGACCAACCAATGCTTCGGCGGGTGATTTTCCTTCTGGAGCTGCTGCTTGTGTAGACGAACAGGAAGCCTGGATAATGGTTTCTACGGTCCCCTCCCCACGCACTTTCAGGAGCGCTCTCTTGAAAATGTCGAGGAAACGTTCTGCTTCACCATTGGACTGTGGATGGTAGGGCGATGGTCGGAGGTGCTGGATGCATTGACGGTGGCAGAACTTTTCAACTTGTTATGACGTGAACTGGGACCCGTTATCGGACACCAGAAACTAAGGGAGTCTGTGTTGGCCGTAGGTTCGCTGGAGGCAAGTTATCGTTGTCGTTGTGGTAGGATGGTTCGCAGTCATGACTTCAGGCCATTTGGAGTTGGCATCAACCAGGATCAGATAGCAGATACCATCGATTGGACTAACACAGTCGATGTGTAGGCGAGACCATGGTTGTTCTGCTGACTATCAAGGGACTGGAGATTGGAGCTGTGACAACTTGGCTGCTTGTTGACATCGTGAGCCACAGCGAAGTAAATCTTCAATGTCGCTGTCGATACCGCGTCTAAAAGTGAAGTTGCAAGCGACTGCCTTCATTCTGCTAAAATCAGGGTGTG